GCTGCAATGTACTCTGCTTCTGCTGTTGATGTAGAAATGGAGTTTTGTTTCTTACTGAACCAAGAAACAAGATTTCCACCAATGAATTGACAAGTACCAGATGTACTTTTCCGGTCAACTTTGCATCCGGCAAAGTCAGAATCTGAGTATCCCACTAACTCAAATGAATTGCTCTTAGCATACCACAAACCCATGTTCTGAGTTCCTTTGAGGTATCTAAGAATCCTTTTAGCTGCTATCAGATGACTTTCCTTTGGCTTTGACTGGAATATGGCACAAACACCTACTGCATATGAGATATCCGGACGGCTTGCAGTAAGGTAAAGTAGAGATCCGATAATCCCTCTGTAGAGAGTTTGATCTACATCCTTTCCATCTACATCCATATCAAGCTTGGTGGATGTGCTCATGGGGACAGAAACGGATGACTTCTGATTAACTTTGAACTTCTTGATAAGATCCCTTGTATACTTCACTTGGTTGATGAGAGTTCCTTCGCTTCTCTGTTTGATTTGAAGACCAAGGAAGTAGTTGAGTTCTCCCATCATGCTCATCTCAAATTTTCCTTGCATGAGGGTTGAGAACTTAGTGCACAGATCTTCCTTTGTTGAGCCAAATATGATGTCGTCCACATAGATTTGGACCAATAAGAGATCTTCACCATCTTGTAGTTTGAACAATGTCTTGTCAATGACTCCTTTGGTAAATCCATTGCCTATAAGAAATTGAGACAATGTATCATACCAAGCTCTTGGTGCTTGTTTGAGTCCATAAAGCGCCTTTTTGAGTCTATACACTTGATCTCCCTTAGTATGTGACTCAAATCCTGGAGGTTGTTCTACATACACTTCTTCCTCTAGGTTTCCGTTGAGAAATGCGCTTTTGACGTCCATTTGATAGACTTTGAAGTCCTTATGAGTAGCAAAGGCTAGAAACAGCCTTATAGCTTCAAGTCTAGCAACTAGAGCGAAGGTTTCATCAAAATCTATACCTTCTTCTTGACAGTATCCTTTTGCAACTAACCGGACCTTGTTTCTGACAACAACGCCGTTCTCATCCATCTTGTTCCGGAAGACCCACTTTGTCCCAATGACATGTTGATGAGTAGGTCTGGGAACAAGTTTCCAGACATCATTTCTTGAAAACTGGTTGAGTTCTTCTTGCATTGCATTGATCCAATCAGAATCAGCTAGAGCTTCTTCAATATTCTTTGGTTCCACTTGTGAGATGAAACAAGCAAGCATAGCTTCTAGATTCTGTTGGGCACTCCTTGTGCGAACACCAGATTGAATATCTCCAATGATCTGTTGAGGAGGATGATCCCTTAACCAACGAAGATTGTGTTGATTGGGATTGACTGGTTGATCTAGTTCAGCTTCTGGTTGAAGAACAGAAGTTGTTGGTGTTTCCGGATGGATTGGCACTG